TTCGAGATTCTTTACCTTTTAATCCAAGGTTGATTTTAACAATTGGGCCCGATCTTCATTTTTCGAGCTTAATATACGACCCACTTTCAAAATGCTTTGTAAGGTGATAAATGACCCGATAAAGGCTTATTCTTAAAAGGCTTGTTAAACACAAAAATATATTATAGTAATAATAATAATATAATAATAATTATTATTATTATTATTATTACAATATTAAAAAATTATTAAAACATTAAAAATAAAAAATTTTAAAACTAATAATATAAAAAATAAATAAATACAAAACCAAAAAAAAAAGTCATAGCCCGATTTAATAAAAAGCCCAAAGCAAGGAATAAAAGAGAATAAATTGAATAAGGCTAATATGCCATGTTCTTTTTAAAGAAAAAATATATATAATCAAGTGACCCATTTGGCCCTGCTTAGGAGTTCAAGATGTTCGTGTAGTGGTATTCTACATCTAATGAATATAAAATTTCTTATAGTTTTATATTCAAGTTGAACCTTTCTATTTACTACTAATTAGTAGTAAGTTGGATGCTAAACATCGTATTAGAGCTAAGATTTTTATACATTGTCCTTTTCAAATCTGTCACGTGATAGTCTTCTTTCATCTCCGTCTACACGTGATGGAGGCCTGTTACAGTGAATTATCTCACATGTAATAAATTTTTAATATCTGTCATATAATGGGCTTCTTCCATCTTATCTTACACGTAATAAGGGTTATTAGTGTAGTGTTGTCCTATATCTAATAAATATATAATTTTCTATAATCTTATATTTAAATTGGGTCCCTCATTGCCAATTGGTAAGTAGGATGTTTAACGCAGGAAAGCTAAAATAAATGGAAACTACATGGGACATGAAAACTTGAGGAGCACGTGGAAGCATGGGGCATGAAAGAACCTGATGAGTACGTGAAGCTTGAAAGACCGAAGAAAATGCCTCATGCACGGTTGGGGTGTGGGATGTGGGTTGAGAGGACATGAACGGGGCTGGCAAACTTGGGGGTTGGAAGAAAAACTGAACACGGCAGCAACAAGTAGAAGGATGGACGTGAAAAAAAGAGGGAAGCACGGAAAAGAAAGAAAACAGCGGCCAAAACAAGAGGAAGAAAAGGCAGGAAAAAAACAGACCAAAAGAAGAGAAAAAAACAAAGCAGAAAAAAAGGAGGCGACACCCAAAAAAAGAGGACAAGAAACGCAAAAAAAAAAAAAAAAGGGGGCAGCGGCATTAAAGCAGAAAACAGCTGGGAGGAGAAAACGCTGCAGCAAAAAAAACTGAAGCCAAAAGAGCGAGCAGGAGGGGCACGGCTAGAGCAGAAAAGGCGAGGGGCAGCAAAGGAGCAGGCAGAAAGGAGATTGCAAGCAAAAAAGAAGAAGCTGAAAACAAGCATTCGGGTAAGCAACAAATACAAAAAACAAAAGAGAAGATCACCCAGCAAACAGAGGAAGAAAAAGGAAAAGGAAAGAAAAGGCTAAGAACGACAATAAACAAAGGTTTTTTTTTCCTCGTTGAAACTTTCCTGCTTGCTCTAATTTTCTCTTTCTAGTCATGTGTTCATGCATGCGTGGTTCTTTTCTGCCCTCTCTTTTGTGCGTGCTTTGCGTACGAGAAGTTGGAAACCCCAACTGTTACGTGCGAATTGGTTTCTTTCAGCAAGGGATGAAAACTTAAGCTTATTGTTTCATTTTTTTTTATCATTTTGTTCTATTCTTTATGTGTGCTGTTTATGTAACATTATATGGGGTTAAAGTTTTCCTTTCCTTTTCATGCTTGTGGCTTGGGGTCTAGTAAGGAAGTTTAAAGCTCTAGTTTATTTATGTTTGCCATTTATCATTTGTGCCATACGTGAACTATCTTGAAGCTTAAAGCCTCATGCCCATGCTTGTATGTGCTATTTTGTTTTAGGAAGCTTAAAGCTTCATTCTTCTGCTGCTTGTGCTTTATTGTCCCTACATGATTGGTTGATAATGAGGGGTTTCAAACCATTTTGTTACGGGCATGGTGGATTGGTGTTGCCATGTTTATTCCTTGTTATTTTGTTCCTTTATTCACCTCCCATGCTCACGTGGACTGGAAGGTAGTTTGGAGTCTTAATAATATAGAAATTTCATTTTTGTAGTTTGCTAAATCCCTTTGGCATGAAAGTTGTATGTAGAGAAGGCAGTTTGACTTATATTCGATGAGTTTCGACCCAACCTAATCCTCTTGGGGTTGGTTTTTTTTTTTTTTTTGAAAATCAGATATCGAGTCGGGTGATAGAAGGAAAAAAATCTGAGTCAGGTGAAGATTGGGTTTTAGGTAAACCCGACCCTACCCGACTCGATAAATATAAAAATTATTTTTTAATTAATTAATTTTATATTTATATATTATATAATTTTATATTTATATTAAAAAAATAATATTTTATTAATTTTGGGTTGGATCGGGTTGGATACGGTTTTATATAATGTCAAATCGGGTTCATGTATGAAAAAAATTTTAAAAAATCGAGTTGGATCGGATTCGGGTATTCTATGTATATAGTCAAGTTAAGTTCGGAGAGAGTAAAAACCCACCCCGACCCTACCTATTACCATCCATAGTTATGTGGTTTAAAATCTAGAGTTGTTCATAATTGTTTAAATACCTTATTGGTTAAATTTCGATAATCATTTTAGTATTCATGTAATTTAATCTCTATGCTTTCGTACACCATTAATTTATATCATCATGCTTAAAAAGTAATAACAATACTAATAACAATGTGTTTTTTCTTTCTTTTTTTAAATAATAATGATAATTAAAAAGATTTTGAGATTCCTACCTAAATGTGGAATTAAAAATCATGTTTTAGAAATTAATAATTTTGCCTAAATGTTGAAGAATTATTAAATAGTAAAAAAATAATAAATTATTAATAAATTATAATAATAATAAAATTTTTTAATGAAAAGGAAAATAAAGGAAAATATAAAAATACATTTTTTTAGAAAAACTTATATAAAATGAGTTTGTACTAAAAAAATATATAAGAATTAAAATTTGAAAATTACAAAAATAGAGCATGCTCCAAAAGTTTACTTAAATGTTAAAAATTTTTAAAAAGGTTTGTAAACTTTTAAAAATCCTAAAACCAAAAACTTAAATGAAATTCTAAAATTAAAACTTTAAATGAAACCTTAAATTGAAACCCTAAACAAAACCTTAAACTGAAACCTTACTATTAAAACCCTAAATTGAAGCCTTAACTTGAAACCCTAAATTAAAACCCTAAAATTAGAACCCAAAATTGAAATCCTAAATGCAACCTTAAAATTGAAACCTTAAGTGAAACTTGAAACCTTAAATCTTAACCTTAGGCCTTAGTTAAATTAAACTTTGCAACCCTAAACCTACCCAAAGCCCCAAACTCATATTAAATTTTTAAGAATTTACAAAAAAATCTTTTATGAAATAATCTGTTCTCAAATGTTACTTAGATGATGGGATATTTAAAAATTTTTATTTTATTAAGAATTTTCATATATATTCGCAAGTCAAAATAAATTCGTTTTGTTAAAATAACAAATATAAAAATATAAAATAATATAGAATGAGATTTTAAATATAAATAGTCACATTTAAACTCTGTCTAAAGGTTGGGGGGTCTAAATGGTCTCTTTATATTTGAAAACTCGATTCTTAAAATTCATATTTTATCACCATTTGCATGTTTTATTTTTAGATTAATGTGAACATTCATAATGCATATATATATGTTTGATCTAATCATTGACGTTTAATATTAATTATATTATTTTTTGTTTTTCTACTACATAATAAGTGCTTAAAATTAGTTTTAAACAAATAAAATTAAAATATGAAATATAAGTGTTGGTACTTTGTCTAGATATTGGAGAGTTGTCAATAATTATCATTTACGAAAAATGTTATTTCATTATGTTAAAAAGAAATGTTGCAATAAATTTTAAATGAAAAGATTATCTTTGAATTATGCATTTATGTAAAAGAATTTTAAGATATTTCTTTAATCTAAAATTTTTATAATACTCCTAAATAAAGATTTCTTTAGATTAATTTTCTTTCTAAAAATAAAGGAAATTATAATTAAATTTCATATAGAAATTTTTTTTGTCCAGAATTATAAATAACATATAATTAATTGATACTAATTTTGTGTGTGTTGTAAGGGTACTAATTTTTTTCACACATAATAGACTCTTGAACCTAATTTTATTTTGGTAGATCAAAACTATATTTTTAATAAACTCTAAACCTATTTTATTAAAAAAATAAAATTTTTAGGTGACTAATTATATCCTAAAAAAAATTGATGGTAACTTTTCATATTTTTCATGATTTTTTTTAGTAAAAGATAAATAAAAAAGACATATAAACATACACATGTCTAATAAATAAATAAATAAATGGTTGAAATGTCACTTTAGCAATTTTTTTACAATGTTAGATATCGGGGGATTAAAAATTTTTGAGTGCTGCTAAATACATTTTCATTTTTTACTTTTTATATCCTAATTTTTTAAAAATATTCATTAGTAAAATTACTTAATTTTCTTTCTCATAATTTTTTGAAATTTTACAATTGTTCAAAAAAAATTTTTGAAATAATTTTTCAAAAATAAATTTTTAGAAAATCATAAATCTTTTCATAAATAGATTTTTGGAAAGTTATAAATCTTTCCAAACATTTAACTATTTAAAAATTCATTTTCAAAAACTTGTGTGAAAGAAAAAAATAATTAAGTAATTTTATTTACAAAATTTTTTAAAAAATTAGCATGTGAAAAGAAAAAGCTATGGTGTATTTAATAGTGTTTGACAGTTTTTTATTTAAGTACCATATTACAACAATACATTAGTTCAAGGACTATTTAGGTATTATCCCTAAAAATTTATAATAAACCCCTTTTTGTAATTTCCATTTTATTTCTGACAAAAAGAATCACATTTTTGGTTTTAAAATATTTTTATTGAAAAATATTCCATGTCAATTTGCTACATGCGTTTGGGCTTTCGTTCGAATAGGTATTTAAGTCTGAAAATTTTGCCGGTGTCTCTTCTTTTTTTCTTAGGAAAGAGAGTTACGACCAAAGCTTCTCTCTCTTTTACTGATAGATGCTTAGAAGAAGGAAATCTCTTCTTCTTGATTGATCGATTCTTTCGTCATCAAGAAGAAGAAGAAGAAAAGCAAATAAAAAGGATAGGAGAGAAAAAAAAATAGAAGTTTATGCCCCAGGGATCGAAAACTTAAAAATATATATCACCATGGACTTGACTTCGACTACGACAACTTCAGCCGCTGCAGCTGTCAACGACAAAGAGTCAGCCGTTGATCCTTTCCTGGTTGAGGCTCTTCAAAATCCTCGTCACCGTCTCACCAGTAATTTTTCTTTTGCCTTAATTCTCAATTTTGCGTTTCTATTGGATCTCTGTATAGGTGGGTTTCTGAAAGTGTTTTTTTTTCTTCTTTTTGTGAGTTTAGGGTTTATCATGTTTATGGGTTTTAGATTGGATTTGGCTTGGTTGGGGTCAATTAGGGTTAGGATTTTGTGAATAGAAGAGATTATTTATCAGATCTGGGTTTTTTTTAATGATTTTTAATTGGGCGTTGAGAAATTGAGGGGAAGAAAAACAATTTAGATTTTTTGCTTTTTTTTGTTTAATTCTGATGGCTTAATTTTTGTGACAATGCATAACTGAGCTCATCTTAGTCAAAGTTGGGTGGATGCTTTTTTTAATTGGTTTCCCGAAGTAATGTAAAGTTTTAGTGAAACCGTTTATTTTTCTTACATTGTCCACTTGAATTAGGGATGGTACCTTTAATCTGACCAGCATTTCATATGTGTATGCTATATACGCTTTAACTATAATCATGGCTATCTGTATTTTGTCTTACCAAAATGTTTTCAGTTTTGCTGTTATTAATTTGAGGATTTATGTTGTCTTCTAGTTTGGAACAGACCATAATTCTTTGTTCTGAGATTGTTCATGCAGAAGGCTTATGTTGTTTTTGGTTAGGTACATCTGATGTAGCTCTCTGATTTCTTCAATATGTGGGCCTTGAGATTTTATGCCTGCATATACATTCTTCCAGATGTTTAGTATGGTTTGTACATTGAAGTGTAGAAGTATTTTGTTTTGTTTGTTGATTTTGGCCAGCAGTAAATAATCAATTTTAACTTGATGAACCTTTTAGTTTTGAGATATGACATAAGGGATTTGAGAATTTGGTTCTGGTTGTTGGAAATGGCATAAGAGGTGCACCAAGCTCAAGAAGCATAATTAATATAAGATGAGCCTCGATTTTTATGGGTTTTAATTGTTAGATCATATAACCTTGCGTGTGTAGGATGATCATGTTATACCTATTTAACATAATTTATTATTAGATAAAGATATTAAATATGCAGAATGGAGATCAAAATAGGCTTCCTTATGCATTTTTTTCAGCTTGGGGTAGATAGCATTGTTACATGATTTTGTGATATAATTCAATATTTATTATCTTTGGAAGAATTTTGAAGGTATTTAAGGTCAATGTTCGTATTCAAGCTTTAAAGTAGGTTTTCAAATGCTGAATTTCTTTGTGATTTGTATATTGGTGGTAACTGCTAGAAAATATATCTGGATTTAGGTTTTTAAATGATTTAATTGGTAAGGATGTAAGGGGCAAACTTTGCTTGTGGAGTTCAGTACAAATGTTGGACATAAGTATGTGTCCGACACAATATATTTAGTTTTTCCTCATATATGGACTGTCATACTCCCATACCCATGCCTATTTTTAGTTGTTAACACAACTGCTTTAGGAAAAATAATACTCAGAGCAACCTAGTTGTCATTTTGAGTATAGCCAAAAAGCTTTTGTGTTCTGCTCGGCTTGCTATGAGTATTAGTCTTGCAATTCAAGCATCAGTGTTTTGGTATGTAAGATTTTCTGGTTTAAGCAACGTAATTAAGGTCTAAAATTTGAAGTGTGTGATGTCTGTGATGGTTAAGAATCTGATATTATTTGCACGAGGTTTGTAATTAGCGCTAGACATCCCATGTCTCAATAAATATAAGCTGAATAAATAAAGTATATGTTCAGAGATGCATGTAAGTTGGAGAAACTTTTATTTCTTCTTACACGCATAAATCTTAGTTGGTTTGTGCACTTTTAAAAGATGACATGATGATTTTTTTTTAATTTAAATTTTAGTTTGATTACTGGTTCATTATTTGCCCATATAGCTTATAATACAATTGCCATGAGGGAGCTTTTTCCTGTTTTGCTTTCTTGAGTTCCCACAGTCTAGGATCTAACAAGAAAAAGATACAAGGAGTAGTTCTCTAGCCGTAGGGAGAAAACAGGTTAAGAAAAGAGAGCAGTTTAGATTCATTAATTAATGCTTCTTGTACCGTTTAAAAAAATTAAAAAAAAAATAATGCTCCTTGTGTACCTAGTGGATGCTAGATAGAATACTGCATAGTGAAAACAGGTTAAGAAAAGAGTGGTTTAGATTCATTAATGAATGCTCCTTGTGTGCCTAGCAGATGCTGGATAGAATACTTCAGTTGTCTACTTGTCTGCTATTTCTTTGTTCTTTTGTTTCTCGCATGTATTCATATCAGTGAATTTATATTGATATTTAGTTTTCCTTTTCCGGTGATCAAACTAGTTGATCCCAATTTTAGGGCCTGGGAAATTTTCAATTTGAGGGTTTTAGGGTTTATTTTCCTCATATTTGTATTTTACCAGTGGTGTCTTCATTTTTTCCTAATCAACCATATCCATATGTATGGAGTGTAGAAAAAGGGAAAGAAAAAGGACAAAGGAACACATTTTGTTTACTTCTATGGTTTGTTTAAAGTTTTATGACATGTGCTTCTTTTCCAGTGGTGCTCATGCAAGATCATATTTAATCTTTATTTAGTTTGCCATTTTCTCATAGTAGATTTACCTCCTTTATTTTGTGGTTTCCTGGGAGTTAGTTTTGCGGATGGAACTTGATGTCCAGAAGTTTTTGCAACATTCTGACCAGCAGCAATTTGATTTCGAGCATTTTCCTACTTCCTACCTTCGGCTTGCAGCACATCGTGTCGCACAACATTATGGGCTTATAACTATGGTTCATGATAATGGTTTAGATGGCCTAGGAAGCAGAATTGTGGTGAAGAGAGTGGGTGAAATCAGATATCCTGCTGTCCGTTTGTCTGAAATTCCAGCCAAACACTCAGAAAATGATAAACCTGAGCAGATTAAAATTGCTATTAGGCCTAGGCCAAATTACGTGTCTGTGAATGAAGCTAATCAAATTGGTACCAAAAGAAGTCCTGTGAGAAGTGTGGAAGAGAGGAAGGAAGAGTATGACAGGGCACGAGCGCGTATTTTCAGTTGCCCTATCAGTCCTGATTCTGATGAGTCTTCACCTCAGATTTCAATTGATGGACAAAATGAATCTCTGATCAAAGATGAGTGTGAAAGTTACAGGAGCTCCATGGTTGATCCAGATAAAAGTATTACCATTCGGGATGGTACATCCCGAGTAGCCATTTTTAGAGACAGAGAGAAGGATCGTACTGACCCAGACTATGACCGGAGTTATCAAAGGTGGGATTAATGCTCATAGTGTTTTAGGAAATTGGAGCTATCCAGGTGGTTGATTCCTCTGTATCAGATAATGTTGTTTCTGTCAATTCTTTAATTAACCAAAAGTTTGTAATGTCTCTTATCCCCATTTCGTCATAAACATAGAATGTAGATAAGGTGCAAATAAGCACTTGCAATGATCATAATGATATATTACGTGCCAGTTTAGGAAGGAAATAAGAATGATAATTGATGGCATGGAATACAGGGTATGATTTGGTCCTCATGAATTCTAAACTAAATTACTCTTAAACTGATGCAGGTATGTTAGAAGCATTCCTTGTAACCAGAGCTTTGGCTTGGCTCCTTACAATATGCAGAAGATACAGCTTCCATTCATGCAGTATGATTCTGCTTTTCCTCAGTTGGGTCAGATTGCAAGTACTCAAGTTTCCCTCAGGTATGGTGTCCCTGCAAGGCCAGCTTTGAGCCATTTATGTGACCTGGGATTGAATCGAACTTCTAGAGATGGTGCTTATATGCAGTGGCCAAGTGCTACTATGATGTATTCGCATTCATATGATCAGTTTAGACATGCTCTATTTCAGGTAGGCTGCAATTTCTTATTTTATATATTATGCCAGACTTAAGCTAATGGGTTATGTTTATTGTTATACCTCAGTTAGTATTAGATTGTCATGTCCCTTGCATTTCGATGGTGTTTTGTTTTGCATCGGTTTGCCAATTAGTTGGCAGAAGGTCATAAGAAATTCCACCAGTATATCATTTTTGTAATCATTGTTTTCAACGTTTTTATCGGATTTTTATTTATAATATATAAGAATCTATGGACTGTTTTGTTTTTGCTTTCTTTTGTAGCAAGTGTTGCAAATTCCGGTTTTCTTTGTAATGTGGATTTTTTCCTGAATTCTTTTTTGTAAGTTGTCAAGTTGTTAAGCCTTGGTTTCTGAATGAATTGTCAATCAAGGCTTTCATTTTATATGGGTTTTGTATATGTCATTGTTATCTTCAATATTGCATGATTTCCATTTTTGGCTTCATGTTTTGTTGAAACAAGTAAACTGATCTAGTGGTCAAAATTTTGCGAATTTGATCTTTGTCTGTCACAGTTGTATAAAGGAAACCATAGTTTCCTACTTCCATATTATTGTGGGTTTTCGCCAGTGTGGCAGTGGTTATATTTTTTTTACACTTAGTACCTTTGTATTTTTAACATTCCATCTAAATTGCTGTCTTCTTTGCAGGCCCCATTTTGTCACCGACCTCTGAGCTTTGACCACACCCAGAATAGGTAAATGGTACTAGCGGTTTACTGAGTTGTATTATGCAAATTTCCGTCTGTTAGGGTTTAATGTGGCTGCATTGTTAGGGTCCATTGTTTAAAGATACACTTAGACCATTTGTTCCAGCTTATCTAGCTTCGTTGTTTTAACATTTTGGTGGATTACAATCATAGTTAAGGAGTGCAACAATGATGCTTTTATGTTGTTTGAAAACGTTGTTATGTTCTTTAATCAACCGGTGGACGCCATTTTGTGAGAGGAAACATTCTCAATCCTTTTTCTTATAAATTAGAATTAATTACATTAATCATCGATATATTATATTTAGTAATATAAATAGATCTAAAAGAAAAGATTTTGCGCAAAAACAATGGTGCCATTGCCATAGAATATTGAATTTGCAATGAATATGGTATGGTTTATTTATTCTGTGGGTTTGTGATCAATCAAACGTGGTTGATCTGAACAAGTAAATCCTCTTAATGGAATGAAAATGTGAAAAAACTAAGGTTCCGTTTTTCTCGCAAAAAATGATTTTTGAAAAATGATTTTAGTAATTTAATGTGTTTATTTAGTAAAAAATTGATCAAAAAATAAAGTTTTTTTTTTATCAAACAAACACTTCAAAATATAAAAGATAATTTATTGGTCAGTAATAAAATAAAGTTATTTTTCTCAAAACTGTCTTAAAATTTAAAAAGGGGAAGATATTTTTCAAAGTTGTCTGTGAATAGAATTACTTATCAATATTTTGGAGCATAAATTTACTTATAAATAATATTATATTAATAAATAAATTATATTATATTATATTATAATATATTAATAAATAATATATTATTAATAAATAATATACTATTAATATAATATATTAATAAATATCGTTAATAAATAAAATTATAATATGTTAGTAAAAATATAAAAAATAATAAATAGTTTTATTTTAAGTATTTTTTATATTAACAAAATGTTTTAATATTAAATATTATTATTAAAATATCATTATTTTTAATACTAATAATTTTAATAATAAATTATTGTAATATATTTTAATAATAAAGAATTTTTAATATTTTAATAATTATATTAATATTATTCTTTAAAAATTTTCAAAAAACAATCAAACAATGAAAAATATTTTGCATTAACTCATCCAATTAACAAAAAATTTCTTTCAATTCAAAAAATATAAATATTTTTCAAAAATTATTTTTTAAAAATCACTTTTTACGAAAAAAATGAAACCTAATATAGAACTGTGTGAAGATACAAATATGCATGTAAATTTAAATAAATTTTAATTCTTATGTCATCGGAAAACGTATCTATGTCAAGATTTTTCATTTTTTTATTACTTGATCTATGCCAGAATGTTAATTGTGCCAATTAATTTTATAATTATGAAATATAATAAAAGTTAATAGTATTATTTTTTATAATGCATATGAATTTTATATTTTTGTTGATTTTTTTGTAATGTCTTTATTTGATATAAACTATTATAACTTATATATTATTTGATAGAGTATTTATAATATACTAGCTTTAAACTTGCACGGTACATTGCACGAAAGTATATTTATATATTAATAAGATTATATATAATATAAGTTATTTTTTAATTACAAAATAAGATATTATATTTATTAAAAATTAAAAATTTATATATTTAGAGTTATATAATATAAAAACAATAAAATAAAACATTTGCTTTAAACATAACATAAATCTTAAATATTTTAACATATATAATAAAATTAAAAATATCAAAATAGACATTCAATATCTTATACTTAAATTACACAAAAAAAAATTAATATATATGGAGGGATAGGCCTTAAATTACAATAATAATAATAATAATAATAATAATAATAATAATAATAATAATAATAATAATATATAAAAGGATAGGCCTTAAAAAAAAAATTAGGTCAGAAGTATAAGCAACATTTAAAAAACAATTAAATTGTAGAATAATTTTATTGTTTGAGACTTTTTATTAAATAAAGAATCTGAAAGAAATAATCCTAACTCATATGGTATAAATGGAGTGTATAGTTCTAACTAATTATTATTATTATTATTATTATTATTATTTTTAGTGAAACCCCTATTAGATAATATTTATAGTGTTAAAAAGCTAACAAAAGTAGTAAATAAAATTAATTAAAAGAGATATAAAAATTAAAAATAAATATGATTAATTTAAGCAAAATTAAATTATTAAAAATTAAAATTAATTGAAAGATATTTAATCTATTAAAATCAAATGTAATAAATTTGGTTAGAATCAAATTAATTGATAGAGAAATTTAAGCTATTAAATATAAATGTAAGTAATTTGGTCAAAATCAAATCAAATTAACTTAAATTAAAGATATTAAGTAATGGATACATAATAATTGTTCAAAGCTATATACATGTCAAAAAAAAATTATATTACAGGGTTTTTTTTTTTTTTGCCAAAGACTTTAGTTTTATTTATTTATATAAGATTAAAAATAAATATGATTAATTTAATTAAAATCAAATTAAATTAAAAAATAAAATTAATTAAGAGAGATTTAATAATTAAAATAAATGTAATTAATTTTATTAAAATCAAATTACTAAAAAATTAAAATTAATTATAGAGAAATTTAAGCTATTAAATATAAATATAATTAAAATTTTCAAAATCAAATCAAATTAAATCAAATTTAAGATATTAAGTAATGGATACATTGTAATTATTTAATATTATTCACATATTAAAAACTTAGACTATCTATATATGACAACTACTTTTTTTTACAAAAATTTTTACTTTTATATATTTATATAAGATATCAAAACAGACATTCAATACCTTATACTAAATAAATAAAAAAATAATTTTTATATATATATATATATATATATATATATAAACGGAGGGATAGAAGTTAAAACAAAAAATTATGTCAAAAGTATAAGAAATATCTATAAAAAAAAATTAAATTCTAAAATAAATTTTTGTTTGAGACACTTTTCTTAAAATGTAGAATATGAGAGAATCAATCTCAACTCGTATACTATGAACAGCATAGATAATTGTTTTAGAGCATTACTAAATATTATTATTTTTTCATTTAAACTTCTATTACAAAATATTTATAGTGCTGAAAAGTGAAAAAAAAAAGTAAATAAAATTAATTGAGAGATATAAAATATTAAAAATAAATGTGATTAATTTAAGTAAAATCAAATTAAATTAAGAATTAAAATTAATTGAAAGAGATTTAATCTATTAAAGATAAATGTAATCAATTTGGTTACAATCAAATTAATTAAGAATTAAAATTAATTAAGAGAGAATTTTAAGTTATCAAATATTATTAATTTGATCAAAATAAAAAAAAATTAACTCAAATTGAAAATATTAAGTAATGGATAAATTATAATTATTCAAGACTATTTTATTTATAATTATTGAAGACATGTAAAAAAATTATACTATCCACACAGCGTAATTATTTTTTTTCTAAAGACTTTAACTTTTATCTATTTATCGAAGATTAAAAATAAATGTGATTAATTTAATTAAAATCAAATTAAATTAAGAATTAAAATTAATTTAGAGAAATTTAATATATTAAAGTAAATAAAATTAATCTGGTTAAAATCAAATAAATTAAAATTAAAGTTAATTGAGAGAGAAATTTAAGCTATTAATTATAAATACAATTAATATGTCAAAATCAAGTTAAATTAAATCAAATTTAAGACATTAAAAAATAGATACATGATAATTATTTAAGATTATATCTGTGTCAAAAACTTAGACTATTCACATATAACAATAACTTCTTTTTTGTTAAAAGCCTCGTTGATTATATATTAATATAAAATATACATTCAATACTTTATATTCAAGTTGCCAAAAGAACAATTAATATATATATACATATATATATATATATATATATGTATGTATAGAGGGATGGATCTTAAAACAAAAACTTATATCAAAAGTATAAGAAATATGAAAACAAAAAGGATTAAATTTCAAAATAATTTTTGTTTGAATCCACTTTTTTCCAAAATGGAGAATCTGAAAACCAATCCTAACTAACGTGCTGGAAACAGTTTGCATAGTTTTTCTAGTAAATATTACTGTTTCTTTTAGTTGAACCCCTATTAAATAATATTTTGTTGCTGTGCAATAATCTATTAAAGATTTGTTCAATTCTAAATGGATTAATGTCATTAATTATTTTTAAATTATAATAAAATATTCAATGTGATATATGAATTTTAAAAATCTATAATGTAATACATGAATATTTTAACTAACTTAGTACTTGAAAAATTATTAATCCACCCCATGTCACTTTGAAGTTAATCGTGACTATCATTTTAATTAATAAATTTATAATTTAAATATCATATTAAAAATTTTAAAATTCAAATATCAAATTAAACATTAATCCATTCTAAAAATACCAGTGCTCTCCACACCAATGCCCTCCACGACAATGTCAAACCCACCAAGATGTTAAAACATTAAAACTATAAAATTCAAATATCATTTCTCTTCAATGGAATTCTGAAAATTGTAGATTTTACAACCCTAATACCCCAAGATGCCACTTGATGTATAATCCTGGAGTCAATTTAGTAGATTTTTCAGCAGTTAAAAGTTCGAAAGGATCATTAATTTAATTTGTTGAATGCTAAAGCTATTGTTGAGTTACTTGAGATCCTTTTTCCTGTTCTCACCCGTTTGGAACATAAGCAGAGCAATTTCGCACCACAGCTACAATATGAAACAAAGATTCAATCTCAGATATAACCTGAGAAAAACCGCTCAAGTTTAATCAGCTGTTAAACAGATGAACTACCACACTTACCTCTTAGGTCCTCATTAAAGAAGTCCGGACTATGTAGAGAAGAAGAATTAACAAAAAAAGAAGAAAACGAAAAAAAGTAAAGAACAGGAACATCATACAACTATGGTAAATGGAAAAACATATGTTTCAGACTATAACATCACATACTAATTACCTATAAACAGCAATTAGAACGTACACGACAAATTATATATCACTGCTGCAACTCAATCAAGGGCTAAAGTGGACTGTCAGGATCAATCACAAGGTTAAATTTTAGATGTGATCAATTGATTAGGTCACTACTACAATCAACTTGGAGATTACAGGTAGTACAGCAATCACAAGTTATCCATTATAGGCAATCCGTCTCCAGTTTTGAAATTTCAAAGAAATTATAAAGGGTATATGTGGTCTAATGCCCTGCTTACTTGCATAAATAAGCCTACAGTCAGAATTTTTCAAAATATCACTGAACCACACGACAAAGATCCAATATTTTAAGGAAAGGACAGCATAGTTTGGTCTAAAAATGAAAAAGATGCAAAAGTTTAAACGATCATATACTGCATTGAAAAGGTAATAATGCGGCTCAATCAAAATGGCTTATGCACTAAGACCACAATGATGTTGCTCACTCTCAATATGACAAACATTGACACCAAAATTCTTTTCTAGTTTGTTTTACAACAAAGGAGAACTTCTGAATTAAAATTTCATCAACTGCCTTCTTGTTTCAGGGATTTAAGATTTCAGCCACAAATGATCGAGAATGAAGACTGAAGATGATATGTTTCAACACTATGCCAACAAATTTTACATTATTATTTGATCAGAAAAGCTGAGTGTTCTACTTCACAATACGAAATTTATGTCATTCAACAACACCACAAAAGTTACAGATGCTGTGAAATTTCAGAAAATCCAGCTAATGTTCATGGGGATAAGAATAAACTTAACATAGAAAAATAAGAAAAAGAACAGTTGGAGATCCGTGAAAGAAGCCCTTCATATCATGGGTTTAAAGTCTTCTATGGAGTCACACAATGTAAAACAAGTACAACTTAACTCTACATAACACTGAATTAAGAAGAAGAAATGATTAACACAAGAGAATTTTGGAAACTTGAGAGCCTCAAGCCGATTGTAACAAAAAAAGACATCAACTAGGGATCGTAAGCATTATGTTTTTACCCACCTCCAAGCTCAAAACTTAGTCATATTGCCTCAAAACCACCTTGATGGTTGAAAGACCTCCCAGGCAAGCAGACTCCAAAGTTTAAGTAAACGGATCTGACTCCCCATGACCATTGCCACTAAGCAATCCAGATTAACTCAATACCACCAGACCGAAGTAATTGCAAGCATGATAACTAAGAACTTATTGTCACTTAGAGTGACATCACAGTCAATATCCGTCACCAGAAGCTGACTGAGAACACAGACTGCCACTGACAACTTAATTACAGGCGTAGAAGTCTGCAGAACAGAAAATTATAAAATAACTGACACAGCAACCGACTCTAATGACTCGTGGAGTGTAGTAAAAAAAAAAAAAAAAAACAGATTTAAGTACTCCCTGCCAGCTCGAGATGAAAATTCAGATTTAAATTGAAGGTCATTGCCAATTATCAGCACGCCTCAGAATCACTTAAAAAAAAAGCCAAAAAGAGGAATGACCACCCACCAAGACTCTACATGAAGAAACTCGAAGAAAAGGACTAATCAAAATAAAGAAGAAAAGTTGAATGATGAAAATTGGTGTCCATAATTACCAAAGTTTTGAATCAATCATCCCCAGTAGGAAATAAAGTAAGAACCTTCCTTCCACCATTCTCATTGGCAGATTCAAAATCTTCCACATTACTACTGGGAACTCGATTAGGCACGGGGGCCCCTCCCAACCTATGCATTGGTTGCTGCGTCTGCCTGCCTAAGATGGGATGCTCAAATTGCCCATTTGGAGATGACCCAAAATGCCCCATTTGCCTATGATACTGAGACTGCAAATGCGGATGTCCTACTGCTGCTCCCACTATCTGCTGTTGCTGGTGATGATGGTGATGCTGCAGTGCCGGCACTGGCACGAACGGCAAGAAATGCTCTGAATTACCTCTACCAGGATGAAGAAAGTGTGGTGGAATCGGCGAGCTTGCAAACAAATGGTCAGTCGCTGGATCAGCTGTGGCACCCAATCCGGCTCCCCCAGCTCCGCCGTTGACACCGCCACCAGATAAGCATTGCATTCTCTTCAAATAAAGGCGATACTTCTGCAAATGACTAGCAACGTTTTCTCTTGTCAAACCATCAACACTCATCAACTGCATTATGGTCTTGGGGACAGCGTTCTTGATCCCCAAATGGGCCACGGCGTCAACGAATCTCTTGTGAAGCTGTGGGGTCCACACGAGGCGAGGCCGCTTGAGAGTGCGCGCGGGCTCATCTCCAGCAGCCCCGGACAACAAGTCCCCGGAATCGGCCGCAAATTCGGCTGGGGTGGGCTGAGAAGGAGGCTGCAGAGCTGCGGAGAAAGGAGGAGGAGGCGTTGCCGGGGGCTGTTGCTGTTGGTGGTGGAGGTTTGGGTTTCGAATGTCGAAGGCGAGAGCAAGATCAGGAGTGATTAGGGTTTGGGATAGAGGCATCAGCTCTTCTGGGGATGGCAGCTCATCCTCCCATCTTGAGAACCAAGTTGAGTCTTCTTCCCTCATATCATTCACAAATCGAAACCTAAATTTGTAGCAACAAAAAGCTCCTAACTCTGCTCACTGCACCAACAAGCAAAAGATCATCGAATTTCGGAGTCGAGGGAGGTTCGAGGTGGATCTTGTTTTCTTCTATTCAGCTTTTGTTAATGGCTACTGTTTTTCTGATGTTTTTCTTAAACTCTTTCTTTTATTCCATTTTCATTTTTATGCGTTTTCCTTTTCCGGGATTTGAGTCGGGTGTTTTTCACTTTTTCTTCTTTGCAAATAGTTAAAGATATTCTTTACAGTGGCACAATGATCTTATCTGCCCCTGATATTCAGAGCGTAAAATAGTGCATTAGATTTAGTGCACAATATAACATACATAATTGATTTGATTGTCGAAGCATACGGTATCACAGCCATTTTTGTCTTTTCCTCTTGATTCTTGCGGCTCATTCCTTTGGTGAAATATATCCCCGACACATGCTCTCCCAAAATGATCTGTTAAAGGTACTAGGCCTCGTATGGTATTTAGTACTAATCAAAATCTTTATTTCATGACATGGGAATTTTGAGAAAAAGAAAGGCCTAGGCTGGTGTAACTTGAAGAACAACATTGACAACACGTCCTTTGCTACTTGAGACAAGAACCTTTGTTTTTTTTTCCAAGGTTTTATCCTCAAATGCATTTTGCTTTTTAAGTTATTTAAATGCCCACTTCTTTCCCCTTCCCTCCATCGTCCATGGTCCGAAATATTTCTCTAGAGACTTTGAATCCAAAAAATGAGCTGAACATTCCCTCTACATATGTTGATTTAGAGATTTATTTGAGTTGTCTATTACAGTTGCCAAATATAAAAGCTTGTTTGTAAGAATAATTTAGTAATATATGAATAAGATCATATATCATAAATAATGCATAAGTTTTATTTGATTTGTAAAAATATAATAATAAATTTTTTGTAAAAAATTTACGAAAATGACACTAACTTGATTCATTAATTGAAAATAAAATTATACATTCAGAAATTATCTATTATTCCTAATATAAGTGTTTAAATATCGATGTAAGAGATTTCTCAAAAAAATTTCTTTTCTATGTTGATACTATCTACTGTATCGTGTTTACAAAATTTTTTAGGATAAAATAGAAAAGGTGTGCTAAAATTCCTAGAATGGATCAAGACAAAAACGGAAATTACCATTAATCCTTTGCCAATAGCAATACTGGACATGAATATGGCAAATTTGCCTTTAAGGAGACCATTGATAGATAAAAGACACCTTAGGTCGTGGATTGGACAGAAGAAAGGCAGATTGATCAAGAAACAAGCTCGGGTCTACCAAAGGAAATGTATCCCATGCATATAATCGGCTCGCTCAAGCCTCGACTCCTAACGCCGATGGGATTTCTGCTAATTTTTTTTTTTATCTTTTTTTTTTCTCTGTTAAAAAAATGTCCGCACATTATCATGGATAAAACTTTTTATTTTATTATATATTCATCATTTTTTTAATTTATCTAATTAAAAATATAAAAATAAGATGAAGGTAAAAAAATCATCGGAAATTACATATAGATATTTTAATTTTTTTTTTCATAAAATTTATTCAATAGAAAAATAAATACCAAAAAATAAAAAATAAAAAAAAACTCACAGAATATTTGATATTTATACCCCATTTTGAGTTTAAAATATTAATTTTTTAAATTAAAATAAAAAATTACTTAATTAATATAATAAAATAAATAATAAAATAAATATTTTATATATCTGATACAAGTCAAGATAAAGTATATATCCTAAATATACTTTTAACTTGAGCTCATTTTTAGAAAAAAAAAAAACTCAACCTTCTCAAAGTATATTGTTATAAGATAAAAATAATCATATACTCACTCAATTCATCTTAAAGTAAAAAATTATAAAAATTTATAGATATTTAAAAAAAGGAAGAAAAAGTAAATAAAAAAAGAAAAAAGAGATTAAAAGAAAAAAATAATTTAACATGTGGTACATCCTTTGCATCAAGTTGGGGTAACAAAAAAGAATTTAAATTTTTTAAAAAATATTTATTAAAAAATACAAAAAATTTAAACAAAAAATTAAAAAAATTAAAAATTAAAAACTACAAAAAAAAAAAAGAAGAAGCAACGACCAGGTGGCACCCCTTTGATCATATATTGGTCATCGTTACATAACAAGAATTTATGTATGAGGTTTTTTTTTTTTTTTTTTTTTTTTTTATGAATGTCTCCATAATATTTTTTTTTAAAGAATAAATGGCGTTAGGCAGTTGGGTTAGATTATTGAAAAAATCTTCATAATTAAATGTCAATTTTTAAAGCATAAGAAATATACTTATTCCATCTTTAGACTTTAAACACAAGATAAATTAATATAAGTTAATATTCGATATATGATGATGATATTTTATTAATGATTAAAATTAAAATTAAAATTATTTTATTATTTTTTTAAAAAAATTATTTTTAATATTAATTAAATTTAAATGAATTTACTAATATTTATTCTAAAAAATTTAATTATTTTTAATTTTAATCTTTAACAAAATATCATTATATAATTAATTGATAATATATAAAATTTATGTATTATGGAAACATCAAATGTTAGCTCAATTAATATTATATTATGTTAAATTTTATTGTCAGTTGCTCACCTTAAATCTAAGGTATTAACATCGTATTATACTATTTTAAATTTTATTGTCTGTTAATTATATTATGTTAAATTTTATTTTCAGTTGTCCAGTACTTTTACGGCTGTTGGCAATTTTTTTTAACAATCTCATTGGCCACAAAAAATCACATTCTACACCACCTGAGCAATATCCACCTCGTAGAAAATTTAGAGAAGGGCAAAATGGAATTTCATATGAGTTAAGGGATCGGTCCGAAGGAGAGAATATATTAGACGAAATCTAAAAACGCCTTGATGCTAAATAAAAAGAAAGTGCAGGGTACTACGGCCCACCTGGCTTGTTGCTAAGTCCATGACGAAGTGGGCAGCAGCACATAGGCCCATCGAATACCTGTTGCTGTTTCCTTTCATCTATTGTTTCGATGGTGTGAATGACTGGGTAGGAAAAAGAGCATTTATCTGCTTATCCACAACGAGAGCGCAAAGAAATGGCTCTCCTCAGCTTTAGTCCACTTTCCAATATCTCTTCTTCTCCAGTTTCTTCTTGCTTAACATCCTTTCCCATCGCTGTTTTACCAAGTAAGTAAGTACTTCATTTAACTTCATCTTCTGTGGGGTTTTTCATCAAACACTTCTTGACATTGTGACGCCTTCGATAACTCATTGTCATGTACACATTCTTTATCTTGTTTGAAATTTTGTATCGGTTTCCAGTTTCCAGGTTGCGGGTAAAAGCAGTTGATCATCATCCCTCAAAATGTTTAATTGGTACGCAGTTTGTCCCCAACAAGAAAAGATTGGCGATGACTGTGAAATCTGCAAGTACTGATGGCGAGCGACAGCTTCCAACAGAAAGCAAGAAGGAAGCTTTGCCAGTGGAACAGCTTCCTTTAGAGTCTAAGATGCAGCAGATAGCGAAGCAGAAGATGAGGATGAAGCTGGCTAAGAAAACAAGGCTTCGTAGAAAGCGACTTGTTCGCAAGAGGAAGATGAGGAAGAAGGGACGATGGCCACCTTCTAAGATGAAAAAGTTAAAGAATGTATGACATTTTGCTCTCTTTTGAACTTTCTTGTTTCTATTTTTAGATGTTATTTATTTTTATTCCAAGCAGTGATGACCTCAATGAACTGAATCTGCTGTTGTTCAATTTCTCTTTGGAAATTGAAAGATATATGGTCTAGACTCTAGAGTTGTATCTCTTTGTTGGATTCGATAGACAACGTCTCGAGTACCTGCTTGATTTCGCTACCTCTTATTCGTAGCTTTGATTCTTTAATGCATCTGATTCCAGAAGTACATGATAATCCTGTCGCTTATGATAATCTTGTCATTTTATGAATTTTTTTATTTTTTAATATTAAAAATTATGAAATTTTAATTTTATGAAAAAATTTTAATTTGATATTAAATATATTAAAATTTTTAAAAAAATTAATTTCATAAAAATTAATATAAGATAAACAAATTGAGACGGAGGGGGAATGAAATTCGCACAACCTTTGGTCGAATAAATATTGATGATCTTTTTCCATACTCCATCAAGCGTCATTTCATCAACTAGATCCTTATCTAATAGACACAGTTGCTTGCACTCAAAGCATTATTCAAGCTGTCTTCCTTATCTCCTTCGTTAGCAGCTTAGCCCCTATTGAATCAAAACATCCTCATTTTAACTCGTAAAAGACTAAAATATTTTCTACCATCGCTTTCCTCGAGATCATTCTTATTGTCACTTCCGCAACAGACTCTTGTTACTGCTAGATTGACCAGATGCCATCCAAACAATAAGATCAATCAATATTTAAGAAAATTGCTCTAATAACAATTTGTTGTGATTTAGACCTTCATCCAAAGCCACAATTGCAGCGAAATATCATCAAATTAGCCATATTAAAATTAGAACCGTCGAAACCTAGGGAACAAAGAATAAGAAAACTCAAAAAAAAAAAAAAAAAAAGAAATAATAAGAGGGAAGCTCAGCTAAAAACTCACTTATTATTAATCTTTTTTCTTTCGTCAATTATTTAAGAAATTTATATGTTTTCTGCTTTTCTATTGATAAATTAACCCAAAAAAATTAAGTTAATATTATGAATGATTTTTAAAATATAATAAAAATATTTAATATGATATTTAATTTGATACGTGAACTATAAATTTATTAATTAATATAATATTTATTATTGATATAATTAATTTCAAATAATGTTATATGACATACAAACAGTTTTTTTTGTACCATACTAATTAATGAATTTATAATTTAAATATTACATTAAAAATTTTTAAAATTTAAATATCATATTAAATATTTTATTATAATTTAAGAGGCATTATTAAAATTAACCAAAAATTTAATATTAACTTCAGGTTAAACCTAAAGTGGTACTAGGCTTAAAAATAAAAACATTAAATGGCTTAAAAATGAAAGCATAAAATCCAACAAGGACAGTTGAAAATTAAAAAATATTTCAAAAATAAAAAAGTGCCTAAAACAATGTTACTATTCTTGAGAAAAAGAAATAGCTAATGCCAACAATGCCTATTCCAATTAAATCCAAAATAGAGCTGTTACAGGAATAGTCATTCCTCATCAAATTTAAACCGAACCGAATCAAACTTAGGAACGGCTGCCTTGCTAAACAAACCCCACCTATTCCATTTAACCAAACATAACCTCACTGAAATTTGGTTAATCACTTCCACTCAATTCAGGAGAACTGTTAGTCATGGAATTATACTCTTCTAACATTGCGTTGTCATTCTCATCATTAAGCAAAAGTTCTTGTCTATTCACACTTATATTATTTGCTTATATATATATATATATATATATATATATATATATTTCAGATACATACATTATTGTTGTTTTTCAAAACCTTAAACGTCGAAAATGAAAACCAAATGGCTGAGGAAACTTGATATACATAGTTTGGGTATATCAGATACATAGCACAGATGGAATGCAAAGACACCAAGCAAAGAGTGCTGGTGAACTATCATTATTCTATATATCATTTATGGATGCATATTATTACTAAATTAATTTATTTCAGATAGAAGATACAGAGGCAGAATCAGCTTCTGTAATCCTAAGACTGACAGACTCCTTTAACAAATCAAATGAAGTAAAAGAATGTGGTAAAAGTGGGACACTCATCTCCTCGTCTGCATTGTCAAGCAGAGTTTGAATAGGTGCAACCTGCACACATCAACAGAAAATTTAGTGAGAAAGTTTTTAAGATCTAAATATCAAGTTTCGATTTGTTTCTTCATTCTCATGTTAATAATGCCTAAGACAGCATTCGGCCTTTCAGGAATTCATATTATTTTAAGTGAAGTAAACCATTGGGGAACAAATACAGATATAACAGCAGTACCGCAAATCAGTTCTTATGGGATATGCATAAAACTGTGACTATCATTAACTGACTTAATTCTTCCAGTGGCCAACTAGATTATCATGGAATGCATTGCATTCGTTCCTTGTTGGCTATTTGTTTCCCTAAGTTATCAATTAGGCAATTGATACATGGCTTTAAGGTTTTAGAAAATATTATCATGTTCAATGCAACAAAAACAAAAGAGTCCAAATACAGTTGATGAAAAACCTTGCAACAAAATATTATCTGTTATAGTAGGTGAATGAAGACAAGGCAATTAATTAGAGTAATGAAGGATGGACCAAAAAAAAAAAAAAAAGGTAGTGCAGGATTAGAATTGAATACTGATACTAATTAGATGGCAGAAGACTTTCTATGGACTCAATCAACGACCCGTTGAATCTAAAATGATGTAAAATCAATAGAAAATGTACACAAGTAATCAAACTTTACAACAATATGTTTGGCAAAAAGAAAATAATGAACAAAGTTGACTTCACAGAAGACAGAAGTAGCACTAATCCAGCTTGACACAAGCATTGGCTGAGATCAGGAACCAGCAAGTCCAGACTCCAGAATGATTGTGATGACTCCAAAATATTGGAGACAAGTTAGTTGCAATTATTTTTCAAAATTACTCATGAGAAAGTCCTTGACTTTTATGAACAAGTGAATTGCAATGAATAAAAGAGGGTGATAATGAGGACCTGAGTAGAAGCATATAGTCTTTGTAATATTTTACAGTTTGACTCGGATTTTCTTCTCAGCTTTTGATATATTTATGAGTGAACTAATCAAAGTAAACTAAGTAGTTGAGAGACTAACAAGGTAGAAAAGGTAGCAATAACACAAACACATGCAAAGACTTTACGGACTTTTGTGCAAACTAGAGATCATGCTTTCTGAACTGTAGATGAAAAGCAGATAATAAAATGGCTGTTTTACCTTCTTTTGTTCTTTGAAGGAATTCTCATCCATCAGGTTAGTGGATGTGAGAATGGTCATTGTTGATCCTGACAGCTTTACATAGTTTGGATCCAATCCACTAAAAGAAATTTTGAGATTCACTGAGTTGCTCCCAAAGTTTACAACCTGAAAGATAATATGTGAAAGAAAGTGTAATAAGCTACAAAATCAAAGACAATATCTTTTCACTTAGTGGGATTATGGTAGAGGTAAGAAAGTAAAGGACTTTGATATTTTGATTGACGAGATTTTAAGAAACATGTAAATTACAAAACGTCAAAATTCTCAAGCTATCCTTCATAATTTTTTCTTTTCTTCTGACTAGTGTCATCTAATATAGTTCAAAATGAAAAATAAGTTTGGCATAAAAATTAAATATAAAATAAGTGAGTAACAAAGTCTACTTTTGCACCAAAACTGTCCTCTGCACTTCATTTTAGATTTCTAAAATACTTAAACATGCTGCCAAAAGTGACTGTTCGGAGTTTGGATGCCTAGAAGACCATTCACAGATCAATATCCTTCTTTTCTGGTTCAAAGCAGGATCACAATTCAAAGAAGAAAAAGACAGCCTAAGTTTTAAATTTGAAACCAAATTCCTGAATTTCATTTTATAATGGAATGGATTGAACACATTCATCTTCAGAATCCATAGTTAGCATACTCTTTCTGACCAAAAAACATACAACCACAACCCCAAAAAAAGAATCAAGGGGGAATAACCCAAAGTTCCAAAGACTTTCAGATTCAAGGTTTTTAATTAATGTTAGGCTTGATCCATGGATTTTGTATAGGCTGGGATAAATATTATGCCTAACTTGCATACTTTTTTAACTTGAGAAGTAGATTTTGTGTTGTTTAAGGATATTTTTTATGTAGCCAAGTTTAAACTCTAAGCTACCAGCTTAAGAATACTTAAGAAGGATCGATTTTCTTTTGTATTGCCTCATCATTAAGGAAAGTAACCTTGTATTGTTAGGCTGGCTTAGAAGATGATGAATAGATGAAGTTTTGAGATGCTTTTGTTGAACAATGGCCACGCATCTTCCCAACTGCAGAGCTTAAGAACCCTATATGTGAAAGTTTGGTTTTTCAAGTGCGGTACAAAGTCTTTCTACTTGCTGGGTGGCTCCATAAGCCCCTACGCTAAAAGAGTCTAGGACCATTCAGCCTTCAAAGGACAATTACTCTACGCATCAGCTTGTCTTTTCTTCTAAGAATCAGATTTCCTAAGTCTGCTGATATTCAATCCTTCATTCGCTACTATCCTACAACCCCCTTTCCAAAAACCTAGTTGGATTTAGAAAACAGAGAAATGTTAAACTGACTCTCTTCTGCTTTCTTCTGAAATGCCAAATTATTCACCTCAACAATGCAGTATTGGTGTTAGAAATGAACAGATAAACCTCAAAATGAATAAATGGAAAAAAGAAGAAAAAGAAAAACCCCAGAAAACACTGCTCCAATCTTTTGATAATCTGGCATTACGTCTGTTAAACCACTATAATCAGTTCCATCTGTGAGCCAAATACCCTTAAGAAATATAAGATCAATGGGGCTGCAAAATGTTTAAATAATAATGCCAAAATAAAGAGGAAAGGGTAACAGTAACCAGTTAGACATCCAGAATGCGCAAATACATGCTAACAATGCAGTCATTTAATGCATGTATATATACCAAGTGACCATATATATAAATATATATATATATATATATACACATACACGCACACACACACACACACACACATGAGAAACACACACAAATATATAACCAACAAGGTTCTTCTAGGTCCTGCATCAGGGAAAACAAGTATGAAGAATTGTCCTCTTCTAAAGATGTGTAACATGAACATGATCTATACTCAAACATATGTTGTGTGTTTAACATACAGATTTTAGATTGTTAAGCACCACGCAACCTTGGTTACAAAGGAGGTTTTG